GTGTCCATAATAATGACCACATCAAAAGGCATAAAACGACTTACTTATCATCATTCTTTATAATAAATAAATACATAAAAACACGATAAAAAATATTCTCCCTCATTTCAAAGAATGAAAACAAAATACTTAGACAAAAATTATCATCAAAGACAAGATGTGCTAATTAGTGGAAGATTGAAGATGAGAATATGTTAGAAAAAAGTTAGGGATATAAATGCTACAACGAACAAAGATTGAGGAATATAAGTGTAATAAATAAAAATCGTGGTGTCAATATAATCATGGTGCCCGTCTCTTGGAAATTACCTCCATTCCTATTAGTGATCCCAACTTACAAGAATCGCGGCATCCGTGATATTTATCAAGGTGAACATCTGTTGCGATTGCTAAAAGAAGTACTGGGCTACAAGACACAACAAGATAAAGTGAATGAAGAATTGTATCCATATTTCTCATTTTGTACTTGTGGTTATTTGAATATCTGTTCAACTTTTCTTGGCATTTGATTCTTATGGTTACTTCTTGATCCCCAAAGGGACCCTAGGTGGAGAGGTTGCTGAGGCCCTTGGACTCATAAAATGCAAATGGAAACAGAAAAATTCGACAGCAACAAGAATGAAATTGCTAAATGGTTTTCAGTTCTGAAGCGAAACGAATCCAATTTTCGATCTGTCAAATGAAATTCCACGTGGATTATCGTCATATTACATACAAGGGCCTTGAATCTCTTTCGTTCATTCTTCATAACTAATTCCTCGGAGATTATCGTATAAAAATAGAAAGAGAGGAGGAGTAGAAAGGGGGCTATGTTGCATATCAAGATCCATGCCATTAATCCAGTTGTTACAATACTATTTTGGTGAGAAACAAGATCAAATATTATTAATCATCTTAATATAGAAGATTGAGTACTAATCATAATGGAGAATCTCTATTCAAATATATTGGATAAAATATCACACATGTTGTCTCTCTTCGCATTCTATGCTATATAAATCAATAGACATGCGTGTCAAGCCCTTGTTCTTATTCTTGAGATCTTCGACGTCATACACTAAATTATGTCAAATCACCAAAAAGTAACTTCTACGCTTGGCGAAACATAATCTTAAACGTCCCCATTCTTGTTCTTGGGATCTTCGACGCCGTACACTGAATTAAGAACAGATCTCTCAAATTTTTCGCCGTCTCCCCACAATGCATATGCTTCCTCCCCGTGTACAGCATCATCACCGCCAATGAGCTCCTCTTCGGACATTCTTAATGGAACAACAAGTCCAATCAACAGACAAATCAAACTTGTGACAACAACATTAAGTCCAACAATAAACACAATTCCTAGAAGTTGAATTCCCATCTGCTTAAACCCTGCCTTGACCCTGCCATCATGAAAGCCATAGGCAAGGCCAATATAGCGTTCCCAGTTAGGAACCAAATAGAATAGCCTGCTGAGTTTCGGGTTGGCGAAAAAACCGGTAAGGATGCCACCGAGGCTGCCAGCCACAGCGTGGGTATGGAAGACGGCCATGGTGTCATCGACTTGTTTTAGTAGCCAGATTTTCTTGTGGAGAACCATCATGGTGAACCAGGGAATGCAACCGGACATCACTCCCATTATTATGGCTGCCCATCCTTGAACCACTCCTTTTCAAGTGCATGGATTTCAAATGTTACAAGGCATCATAGATACTTATCAAAATTGATTAAATTTTTCTTTTACATTTAGACTCTGCGTTGTTGAATGTTCGAAATGCTGTCGTGACTAATGGAACGATGTTGAGGTCTAAAAAATTTTTTAGTACAGAATTTTATGTCCAACGAGGCAGAAACATGTATTTTTGGACAATTCGTATTTGGAAATTGAAAAAATAATTAAATAAATAAATAAAAGCACGACGTGCCCAACAAGACATGTTTTTGTTTAGTAATATATAAAACAAATTTTCCATGTCACGTCATCATTTCTGTTAACTTAAAAGACAGATAGGTAGAATGTTTAAACTGAAATAAGAAATGAAAGTTATAATGGCTAACTTGGAATATAAAATAATTCGGTTATCAATTAAAAAAAAAAAAAGTAACAACCCCTTTAACCCTTGATCGAGTATCCTCGAATTATTTTATCTTAAAGTTTCTTGTTGGTCGAATTCATAGTTTTTCATCAAATGAAATTTATCTATTTTAAGGACTTCGACTTTTAGATGACATTGTTCAACGTATATACAATGTTAGAAAATTTACCTGCGGCTGGGGTAATGCAAACTAGACCAGTGATCATCCCCTGAGTGGCACCAATAACAGACGGTTTTTCAAAGAAAAGAATGTCCAGTAGGAGCCAAGTTAGCAAGCTTGTAGCAGCACATATATGGGTATTAAGAACGGCCAGTGATGCATCAATGCTTGCAACATATGGATCTCCGCCGTTGAATCCTGTCCATCCCATCCACAGTATCCCTGCCCCTGCAAGCATCAATAAAATGTTGTTCGGCGGAAACCTTTCCCTATCCTTCGTCGCCCTTGGTCCAACCTGCAACAGTAAGAGCGACGGGTTTATCCTTAAGGCTTAACATGTTCTGCAAGATGGTGCTCGTTTGAAAACATCAATATTAGAATCCATGTTCTCACTAGAATCTTAATCAGATTGAATTATTCATTTGAAAAGACTTGTGATTCCATAATACCAATTTTACTAAGAGGAGTTGCGAAACGTACCCTTTAACAGATGTAAGAATTTTCCCTTAATTTTTATTATAGAGGAAATGTTTCAGAAGCAGTAATTTTAAGAATTTGTATTCTAGATTACCCAAAAAGCTGCAGTGAAACCGGCCACTCCCGAGGAGAGGTGAATGACATATCCGCCCGAGTAGTCGATAAGTCCCTTCATGGACAACCATCCAGTAGGGCACCATATGCTATAGGCACCAACAGTGTAAGAAAATGTAAGCCAGAGTGGTACAAACAACATCCATGCAATAAAATTCATTCTCCCAAGCAAAGCCCCAGCTATCAATATCAAAGTTATGGCTGCAAAAACAAACTGAAAATACACCATTGTTGCAGTAGGAAACTTCCCAGCAAATGCTTGTTTTAAGAGATCATGTTGATCCAATGCATCATCAATTTTTCCAAGAAAAGGCAAGAATGTGTGTCCAAACGACAGGTGGTATCCCCATCCGACCCAACAAACCAAGACCGCAGCAAAGGCGTAAAGAGCCATGAAGGCCGAATTCACTGCCCATTTTTTCTTGACGATGCTACCGTACAAAATGACTAGCCCGGGTACGCTTTGGAGGCCCACGAGCGTCGCGGCTGTGAGCTGCCATGCATTGTCACCTGTCAAAAAGACAAAAATATAAACAAATAAATGTGCCGGTTCAAACTTTTAGAGGTTCGGAAATTAAGTTTTGTCTCACCAATGTATTGTGTACATATCATAATTTTGATGAAGAAAATGAAAATTGTTTGAATTTGATGGAAAGTCTTTTATAGTTTAAACTTTCGAATGAAGTGGTTCGTCTGTACCTTTGTTCATCCAATCCGGATTTGCATCATCGGGCTGGAGGTTGGATGGGAGCCACGCATATTTTGAATCCACCATATTGCAAGAGATGAATTGAATTGATGATTCAAGTGTATACAAGGAGGTTGAGGCTTTTTATCGAGGCATAATAAAAGGTTCAGGACAGTGCTGTTATATGTCTGGAAATTGGATTTTTCAATTTGGACAATATTGTACTAATCTTCAACATATCAATACTATTCTGAAGTTTACCTCAATGCCCTCATTTATTTCTAGATATTAATGGGTAATTAGTAGAAAGCGTCCCTAACGTTTACACATATTGCTAAAATAGTCCTTATCGTTTTAAATTTGGCATTTGCACCCTTATTTCAAACATTTGTTGCGGAATTGGTCCTTCTGTTAAATTCCATTAAATCCACGTTAATGGAGGAATTTTGGTTTTGAATTTTTCTTATTTTTTGTCTAAATTTTGCTGAATTATTACGCAAAGTCAAACGAAGTCGAAATATTACATTTTTAATACTATTTCGAAGTGCGCATGACCTAGTTTCTCCCATCCCTAACGGCGTGCAAAACGGCTAACTGTAGCGAAAGTTACCACTCGTCAAAGCATGCCGTTCCAAAATATATAAACGATTTTTCTTATTTTTTGTCTCCATTTTGCGGGATTATTACGGAAAGTCAAACGAAGTCGAAATATTACATTTTTAATACCATTTCGAAGTTCTCATGATCTAATTTCTCTCATCTCTAACAGCATGCAAAACGGCCAACCGTAGCGAAAGTNATTAATGAATTTAAAAACTATTAAACTCACAAAAATATAAACATAACCCCCTCTAGGTATTTAGAAGAAATACCTCACAATCAAGTGAAATTTAATATTAAACAAATGTAATAAGACAAAATAAATAAAAATCATAATTTATTTATTATCAATATGTTATTTTACATCAATAAAATCGCACGGGTAATTAGAAGAAAACGTCCCTAACGTTTACACTCATTGCTAAAATAGTCTTTATCGTTTTAAATTTAGCATTTGCACCCTTATTTCAAACCTTTGTTGCGGAATTGATCCTTCTCTTAAATTCCGGTAAATCCACGTTAATGGAGGAATTTTGGTTTTGAATTCTTCCTATTTTTTGTCTCACTTTTACAGGATTATTATGGAAAGTCAAACGAAATTGAAATATTACATTTTAGTACCATTTCGAAGTGCGCATGACCTAGTTTCTCCCATCCCTAACGGCGTGCGAAACGGCCAACCGTAACGAAAGTTACCACTCGTCGAAGCAGGCCGTTCCAAAATATATAAACGATTTTTCTTATATTTCGTCTCAATTTTACGGGATTATTACGAGAAGTCAAACGAAATCGAAATATTACATTTTAAAGATCATTTCGAAGTGCTCATGACCTAATTCTCCCATCCCTAACGGCGGGCAAAACGACCAACTGTAACAAAAGTTACCACTCGTCGAAGCAGGCTGTTCCAAAATATATAAACTATTTTTCTTATTTTTCGTCTCTATTTTGTTGGATTATTACGGGTAGTCAAACGAAGTCGAAATATTACATTTTAAAGATCATTTCGAAGTGCTTATGACCTAGTTTCTCCCATCCCTAACGGCGTGCGAAACGGACAACTGAGCAAAAGTTAACACTCGTCGAAGCAGGTCATTCCAAAATATATAAACGATTTTTCTTATTTTTCGTCTACATTTAGCGGGATTATTACGGGAAGTCAAACGAAATTGAAATATTACATTTTTAATACCATTTCGAAGTGTTCATGACCTAGTTTCTCCCATCCCCAATGACGTGCGAAACGGCCAACCGTAACAAAAGTTACCACTCGTCGAAATGGTCGTTCCAAAAATGGTATTAAAAATGTAATATTTTGGAATGGCCTGCTTCGACGAGTGGTAACTTTCGCTACGGTTGGCCGTTTCGCAAGCCGTTAGGGATGAAAGAGACTAAGTCATGAGCACTTAGAAATGGTATTAAAAATTGTAATATTTCGACTTCGTTAGACTTCCCGTAATAATCCCACAAAATGGAGACAAAAAAAATAAGAAAAATCATTTATATATTTTGGAACGGTCTGCTTTGACGAGTGGTAACTTTCACTACGGTTTCCCGCAAAATAGAGACGAAAAATAAGAAAAATCGTTTATATATTTTGGAACGGTCTGGTTTGACGAGTGGTAACTTTCGCTACGGTTGGCCGTTTTGCACGCCGTTAGGGATGTGAGAAACTAGGTCATGCCCACTTCGAAATGGTATTAAAAATGTAATATTTCGACTTCGTTTGACTTTCCGTAATAATCCCGCAAAATTGAAACAAAAAATAAGAAAAATTCAAAACCAAAATTCCTCCATTAACGTGGATTTAACAGAATTTAAAAGAAGGATCAATTCTGCAACAAAGGTTTGAAATAAGGGTGCAAATGACAAATTTAAAACGATAAGGACTATTTTAGCAATGAGTGTAAACGTTAGGGACGTTTTCTGCTAATTACCCGATATTAATCTCAAGCATTGTTATACTAGGGTTAAATTAGTAAGTTCACGATAAAACAGCAAGGAAAGAATTGTTCGTATCCGAGTAGACGGAAAACCCAACCAGGATCACTAAAATTCTTGTTATTAGAGAAAGGGACAGGGTGTCTTTTCTTGTGCATGTACTGATTATTCCAATGGAATTTCTTGATGAAAATAAAATAATTTTGTTATTTATGTGGTCCCATAATCTAATATTATTTGTCACGTTGTTGTTAAGGTTCATTTCTCAATTGGATTGATATTTTATTTTTAATGCTTATTTTGCCATGATTCTTTGTAAATTTATTTCATTTACTAAGTTTTGAAAGAAAGGGAAACGAAAATTCTTTGGATGGTTTTCTCAATAATAGTTGAAAACTTGTAAAATTAAGCCACCTACTCGTATTAGTAGTTAGATCGGAGATCAAGAAGATAATATGGCAAAAAAAAAAGAAAGAAACAAACAAACTCTTTTGTATCAAAAGATGCAAAATCCACTACACAAAAAAACACATTTTGTAGCGGTCAAAAAACGCTGTTGTAGACTTTTTGCAGCGTTTTAGCGTGTGTTGCGGAGGTCAGTGTTGCTGTTGAGGGGAGACTTTTTGCAGGTTTTTTAAACGTTGCGAAAAACCTTTTAAATAAAAAAAAATAAAATTATATGTAGCATTTCACTAATATTTGGGGATTTGTAAGAAAATTTAAATAAAATATTTTGATGAAAACCTTTTGAAAATGATTCAAATATGAACAGTGTGTCCCAAAGGCATGTGGTGTATTTTGTGAAATTCCAAAAGCTTGTTGTACACCTCCATTATGTATCAAATTCTGAGTCATTAGTTGTTTAAAGTGTTGTTAAAATTACTGTATAAAAAGTTGTCACCTCACACCAATGTCAAACTTAATGTACATGTAGCAAGATTGTTTTATGATATTCCTAGGCAACAATTTATTACATGACATGTTCTGGGTTTAGGCCTTAGGGACCACTGGAACTAAGTATCAACCACAACAATTAGCTGACCTAACAACATAATCTTTGTACAAAAATTTGAAAGTTTGGTTTTTTGTAAGATTTGAATTTCATTTATTGTACATTCGAATGGAAAACAGTTCGGAATCTATTTTATTTAGAGGCAAAAAAGTTATAAGTAATACAAATATGAATTTTAAAAAAAGGATTCGTGATGTACATTGACAATTAAGTGTTCGTAAATGCATCTACACAAATATTTCAATTTTTTCTCTTAATTGCCAAAATTTCATGTTTCTCTTGAACTGTCGAAATTGTTAGTAGATCACATGTTATGACCAAAAGTATTGGCCAATGTAGGACATCAAAATTATTCAATTTTAATCCACCATTATAATCATGACGAATATAGGAACCATGCTACTTGTACAATCTTTGTTAATAACATTGGTTGACAACATCATATTTGATAGCATCATATATAGGGCTGGACAAAACTTTCGAACAGATGCTGATCAAACCGAACCCGAATCAAACTTAACCGAACCGAACGGTTCTTCATAAGTTAAATATTCGAACATGTATTTGAATCGAGAACCGATGTGTTTAGTTCGATTATCGATTCTAGACCAATAACCGAATCTAAATATTTTATTTTATTTTTTATATTGAATTAATTAAATTATTTTATTTTTTCTAAACAAATTAACAAATTAACTAATTTAGTGGTTAATGTTTCAACTCTCAAGCCAAATCCATGCCTAGCTAGCCCAGCCCCATCCCAACCCAATTTCGAAATTCAATTTTTGGCCCAATTATTAATTTCATTGTTAGCCCAAGATCTAGGTCTTTTTAAGTTTTTATCCTTCCATTTTTAATTTCAAACTTTCATTCGGTAAGCACCGGTCCACTAACCCCAAATCATTTGATAAATTAAAAACCTACATCTACATGTCCAAATTGAAGCCGCCGACTGCCGAGTTCGACTTTCCTCTCCAACTGCCCATCAAAGATACGAATGAACATGTAATTAATTGTATTTATGTAGTGTTGTTATAAATGTTAATAAAATTAATTATGGTACAGAACCAAACGGAACCGAACGATTGTATTTATTAAATACCCAAAATTTTTGGTTCGATTCGATTATATTCAGAACCGAACCGAATCGGACCATGTTTAGCCCTAATCATATTCATCCATTTTAAAAACTGTTTTTTATATCAAATGCTCGGATTTTGACAACTCACGATAGTTAACCAAGGGTGTCACCATGTTTGTACAACTAAATATAAGAGAAATTAAAAGTAGCAGTTAATTATTATTTCTTGAAAATCCCATATGGCAAATGCATGCCCTAACAAACCATATAGCAATCAGAGTCCATATAAAGCTCTTATACCTGCAAGATCATCCTCATTCAAAGTTGTTTTGTCCACTCCATAACCAATATAGGGGTACATAACTGCAGCCTCAACTTTGCTGTGCTCTAGTCCTAAAAGATGCCCAATTTCATGCATAGCAACACTTATCATATCTATTTTTGCTGGGGCAGCGCCAATGGACCATGGTTCAGTTGCATCAATGTGGAACTGGCCAAAAGTTGGTGGACTTGCATGAGCAAGGACTCCTCCCGGGCCGTCGAACGGAGCGTTATCACCATGGTCTCCGCTAACGAAAGCAATATGTAAATCTGCATTTTGATCACTTATAAAAGTCGGAAGAAACTCGAAATTTGTTGCTGCAGCCCATTTGTAGAAGGCTAGTCCTATGGCAGGCATGAATTCGATAGGAAAACCGGGTTTAAAACCATAGGTGAGTAGGGTTTTAGGCCATTTGGGGGAGTTTTTGAAGAAACTGTAATGTGACACTATGTGAAAGGGGCTGGGGCCATGGTGGTACATATTGTTAGTGCCATTTATAATGTCCGGTATCCCGCATCGAGGCATTGACATTTTTGACACCGTTTGAGAATCTAAGACTCCGGTGATATTAAGGTTGTAATTGAGTTGGTAAGTAATGATTGCAGACTCTAGGTCATCGTCGAATTCATCATTTTCATCGAAACTCTCGAGATAACCAAATTGATTGAGATACTTTCGGAGTTGATGAAGTTTTTTCACATGAACACCCTTTTTACTACCTTGTAAATTTTTTAGAAACTCAAATGGCGATGGTTTTACGCCATTTTTCTCCTCTATCTCCATTAGACATATATTTGAAGGAACGAAGAAGAAAATGAGGAACAAGCACAAGAAGAGTTGAGTAACTAAGGGTGCCATGACTTTGTTGGGAAGAATTGCTTGTGGGATGATGTTTTTGTTATCATATGATAATTGATCTATTTATAGACTTCTATACATGGTGGAATTTTTTTTTTTTTAAATGAAAATAATGTCATCTTGCTAGTTCATTTTCTTAGCTTAAGTAAAATAGGAAATATGCAATTAATTAATATCTAGTTTGGGATCATTTAAGAATTAGTTACTTGCAAAAGTCTTTAGGCATTAATGGAGCAACCGTTCCTCACCCTCAACTCTCAATCTTAAAACACCGTAAAGAATGTTAGGCTAAATCTTAAAAAAAAAGAAAAAGAAAGAAGAAGAAGAAGTTCCCTCCAAACATTTTTGTTAAACTTATCGTTCTTTCTTCTTTACTTTTAAGCTAGAAAAGTTCTTTCTTGTTTTTTTTTTTCAAAATAACCATTAAAAAATTAATTATTTTAAAATTTACTTATTTAATTCACGCATAATTTAACTTTTTAAGCTTAGCAACTAGAAAGAATACACCAAGTACTCAAAGAATGATTTAGTTAATTGAGCCTATGTTTGTCCTTCATTTTTTCAATTTTTCTTTCTACACTCATTTTTAACAATACATTCACACGATAAAATATTCTACACGTAAACTTGAAATTTATTCTACTTTTAAACCACACATTCTCCAAAAATTCACTATTCAAAGCAATATTTTTTCAAAAAATGGCCATCAAACGGCCTAACACATGAATGTTTCTATTAAATGAAGGCTTTTGGTGAAATTCTATTCTTCAAAATGTTGATGTGTAAATTTTTTTAATAGCATTTTTGGTAAGAGCATTTTCAATGCAGTTCATGAATTGTAATCTACATGACATTTAAATAAATAGATTTCCATTTGATGTGTCATTGATATCTAACAAATAAACGATCAAGTTTAAAATTGGTCTTCAATGGTTCCATCTATATTCTAATATTTTCGCATGTTGTATTTTGTTACGTTAAAATATAGATAATAAAATGGAGTGGAAGAGAAAGAAAATATAACTTTCGAAAAACATAAACAAAATCAATAAATAACGGAGCCTACATCGCAACTTCCATCTAAACATATTGTAGGTTTTTTTGTTTGCTACGTCGGCTCGATTGAGTCTTATCAACTTAAGAATATTGTTAGGGTTTTGATATGTCTCCTTTATATAATTGGCTCTTCTTTACAAACTGAGTTGTTATCTAAGTTAAAATAATTGTAAGAAACACAATTATTGTAATTCTTTCTCCATTATAGTTGAATAAAATCTCTGTAAGGAAATTGATTCCTTGGATTAAATTTGAAGATTCCTCAGCAGCTGCAAAAGTATTCCAACAGATTGGAGCCTTTAACTACCTGTTTCAACTGCCATTGTTGGTTAGAATCTTCAACCAAGTTGGAGCCTCGTTAGTTGGTAGTTAATAACCGAAATGGAGCATCAATTGAGTCTATAAATAGGAGCCTCAGGTTTAGGAAAAAGGCAGCTCGAAAATGAAGATGTAGAGCTCGAAAACTCCGATAAAGGAGGGATGAAGAGCTCTGAAAATCTGGTAAAGGAGGAGCTCAAAAAGGAGAGTGAATCTCTGCAAAAAGGGTGCTCTGAAAGTGGGCTATGAAGCAGCTCTGGATGAGAGAATTCGGTAGAGAATTCTGGAGCTATAAATAGAGAGCTTGAGACTGGTAAAAGTCTGTAGAGAAATAGGATATTATTTATCTGGAAAGTAGAATTCTGGAGTTGTAGAATTCTGGAGTAGGAAGTGTAGATTGGGGAGGAACTAATCTGGAAATTCTTTCTACTGATTCATGTAATTGAATGTTAAGTTTCTTGTTAATAAAGAGGCTCGAGGAGGAGGTTTTCTTCCTGTTTAAATTCCATTTTCTGCTGGTTTTCTTTCTTGCTGTAGCACATCTGTTCTTGGTTATTCTTCTTGCTGGTTTATGTCTCTGCTGTGATTGAATGAAGTAATCAAATCCCAACAATCTCCAATTCCTCTGCCAAATTAAATTCTTGTCTTTGTGTTCATCTTATTGTTGAGATCAATACTTCGTATCGTGCCATATAACATCGTTCCTCCCCCAACACTACATGTATCTAGCTGATTATTGTGTTATGATATGTAAAAATTCAGTAATGTTGCATGTGTTTACATCAGTATTGGCTTAAAGAAAGCAGTAAAAATATTAAAATTAAAAAGTAAGTTTTGAGCTTAGGCAAACATAAGTGTTCATCGTCGCGCAATTTATGCTGGAAAATCATAGGTTTTTAAGTATGACATATTTTAGGATTAAGAAAAAATTCATCTACATGTGGGCTTACAATCTAAAGTCTCAATCTGGTGGATCACTGAAGTACTGTTGCACTGAGAATTACATTGGATTTTTACCTGTTTCAAATTAACCGTCAATGAGTGATATTGTGAAGATCCATTAAATCAATCCCTGAGTTTGATTTTCGACATCAGCAAAAGTCATCTTGAGTTGAACTTTCATCTCATAGTATGTTGGATTTATTCTCAGTTTGATGCCGTACATATCATGTATACTCTTTTGATGATTCGATTAAGAAAACGTTGGGAGTTCTTCAAGGGAAGTTTGGCCAGGAGAATCAACAGTGGTGTGCCAAGGATGGGAGATTCGAGTAAATGGTGAAAAAGCTTAGCATCGAAGCTGGATTTAGCGAATTTGCGAAAGTGGATAGTTACGTATAATCAAACTAATGCGTCTAACGTCAGTGGACACAACATAGATGGTATTCAATATTCTGAGTATGACCTGATGATTCAAGTACAGGGATTACGATGATCTTGCTTATTAACTATCACTGCCAGCTGGTCGGACATAACTATGACAATACTGTTGGTCCACAATCATCCGTAATTGGTCTGTTGGAAGTTCGGAAAGCTGGCAATTAAGTCCCCAAAAATGTTGAGTTTAACTTCTGAAACTTGTGATTCTCTTCCAATTGCTCTCTTAATTCTCCTTATTGATCACATGCAATTCTGTTGATCCGTGTTTGCTCTAAATCAACACCAGTTAAGCTCAAACACGTCTTTTTCACGCCAATTGTATCCAAGTAGGGGTTTTTCGTACAATTTAGATATTTACATTAAATTAGTTAGATATCCGCTCATTTTGTAATCATTCATCAAGTTTAAAAACTCGAATAAACGTGTAAAACACCCTTATCAGAGCACATGAATTTCAATACCATTTTCAGGAGTGACTATAATAAACTCGAAACACTAGATTTCCTTTTCCAGAGCAAAGAGTTTAAATACAAGGGAACTACTAATGCATCACAAACCGGTCAAGTATTAAGCCTCTATTTGGTATAGATTTTTGAGAATAAGTTTCGTGAAAAGTGATTTTATTTGAAAATGCGTGATTAAAAAGAAGGAAAAAATTATGGACACGTGCAAAATTATTTTATATAGAGAATATATGGTTGGAAATGTGTTTGAGAAATACGAGTTTTAAAAAATAGGAACCTAAAAAGGACTAAATCTAGTTAATCAGAACTTATAAAACATATTTTAAATCAAGCTCTATCGTTAATTCTATTTCTCTTAAAGCATGCCTTTATTCCCTATATCAATATTGCTTCAGTGCTAAGAGAACTGACTCCTTCAAGTTAGGCTACAATGTACTTCCCTTTTCTTTAGCACTTGGAAAGTTAGACAATGAAGAAGGATTTTGTAGCTAACATCAAATATCTTGAAAATAAGCTTTAGTTTGTCGGTGTTTCACTGTTTCTTGGATTAGTTAAATTACTTTAAGATCAAAGTGAATAAAAGTTGTGAGTTCGATAAAATATAGGATTGTGCCACTTTGTCAGAATGATTTTAAATGACAAAAGTGTATGTGGCAACAGATGATTGGATGAAGAAGTTGACCGTGTTTTAAATAATCCAATGATAGAATGTCATGTAGCATTATGTCAACATATCTGACACTATATCACGATTGTAAAATATATGGTTAAAAATGAAGTTTGATCAGTTTTTTAGCAAACAAAAACTATAACAAACAAGCATTCATTTGAATTGGATTATACAAATATAGAAGACAAGAAAACTGGTGCAAAGAGTGGGATGACAAGGCAATGAATAGGAAGTTACTTGAAGGCATAAAAAAGACATGGTGACAGCAGAGTCACGAGTCGGCTAGGAACAAGTACGACGTGGTAAGAAAAAACGAAATTAAAGCAGTTGGAATATAATAAGCTATAACAGAAGAAAGCTGCGACTTTAAGCAGTCCATAGAGGGATGAGGCTTCTGGATGCAAACTTGAATTGGTTTACAAACGTGAATACACGATCATTTCAACGCATTTAAAGAATAAATTGTTGGGAAATTTTGGTGGGAATGGGATAGAGTGGCTGCCAACTACCCTTCTCTTGGAAAATCACGCTTAGAAGTTTACCAACCAAGAACATGCATGTTTGGTTGTTGTGTACTTAATATCAACCTTGAATGATATTATAGAATTTATTAGTGACTTGTGAAAGATTTTTCCTCGTAGAATATTCAAATGATGTTTCTTCTTCATGTCTCAAAACTAAACTATTGATTTTATCCACCTATTGTGTGTCTAGTTAGGCTCGGCCCATCTACCCATGAGCTTGACTTGTCACTTGTCTCAAAACTAAACTATTGATTTCATCCACATATTGTGTGTCTAGCTAGGCTCGGCCCATCTACCCATGAGCCGAGCCGAGCCTATGACTTGGCTCAGGCTCAGATTCAGGCTCGTGCTCTTCCCGAAACGAGCCTGAACCATTCATGGGCCGAGCTTTGACAAGCCGAGCTAACGAGTTACATGACCCTTTTGCTACCCATATGTCTAGCAGTCAAGATTAATACATTATACTCTTTCTGAAAATAATTTTCTTCCTCCAATCAAGATCACGCATGTAAAGTTTTGCGTTTTTATCTAAGTTCGAATGATATTTGTTAAAGAATATTCAAATAATGTTTCTTATTTCTCTCGTTCTCATCCATCCATTGACGGTTTTCCCCGTCGTGCACTTCAGAAATGTTTACCTGATGTGAACATTTTTCTCCCTCTGATGGGTAGACTTGGACAAAGAATATTTTAGACGGTGTCTCTTTGGATTTATCCCTCCCACCTAATTCTATTGTGGAACGTAACAGCAAGTCATTTCCTATACGGTGCTTATTTTCCAATTTGTGGCCTGCTCCCAAAACGTGGGAGAAATTTGTGGAGTATCTAGAGTTTCACTTCTAATTGGTCTGCTAGAGTCAAATTAGTTGCTAATCTCTCTTTACTAGTGGGATAGTAATATAACCTCATGTAGTAGAATTGTCTACTCAAATCCCAATACATCAAATTTCGAACCCCCATGTCATGACACCTTGAACGTCCAGTGGGTTTGGCTACCTGCTCTATTTGTCTTATCCAATCATCATCTAAGATGTCGTGTCTCGAGTAGTTTAGCGTTCAAAGTATTGTGATTTGAGTAAATGTCCTATACCATGTGCATATAGGACAGTCGCACGCTTTAACATTCGCGTGTGTTTTTAACCATGAAAAATATATGGTTTAAAAGTAGGNTGCACTCTAGTGAATAAGTACGTAATATAATTAGGCAAAACACATTTCAGCCCTCCGAAATGGAAAACCAGAACAGAGCTTGGGGTGACAAAGTAGACTACTTACATTATGATTTTATGAAGCGCAAGTAGTGCTCAACTTTGGACCTTTTGTTTCCACTTGTTGTCATGCTTCTTACATAATTGTCAAATATCACCCTTTTTTTTTGGTAATTGAATTTTAACTTGTAGGTTTATATATGTCTAAAAAATTTAACAAATTTTCATAAAAATTGATGAAATTTGTGATTAAAATTGAAATTTAATCAATTCAAAAGTTGATGAAATTTCAACGAAATTTTATCAATCAGTGACTAATAAATGAGTTGTCCAAGACAACAAAGTTAATCCGCAATTGTTGAAAGATTCATCACACATTGTGAAACGTACAATGCAAGTTGCAGTTTTTGACTTGCGGTGTCCACTATGATTTATGCATATTTTGTTTCTTGCAGGAAATTGCCAAGAACTTTCACTCTAATTGTTTTTTAATGTCTTTGGTCATGTTTCAATTAATAAAACGGAAAAGCGGCATGATAGACTTTTGAATTTTTAGCGATATTTCACATCATCGCTATATTTTTTTTATTTATTGTAATTAGATTATTGAACTTCGATTGTTGTTACATTGGGTCACCTGTCATAGTTGACGAGAATACTTTCGGGGAAATTGCTTGTAGCAATATGACATTAGTCTTGAAATTGTTACTCCAAAGTTCGAAATATAGATGAGAGTTTTTAATTTTATATATGAAGTCAAAGTTTTTATAATATTTTGTATACAATTTTAAGTGTTTATTATGTTTTCATATTATTATTCAAGTTCAATAACCCAATTGAAATTGGGAAAAGAAGTTAACAAGAAATTTCGCTGAAGGTTATGGAGGTGCATTTTTTTCAAGTTGGACAAATGGAAGTGATATGAACAAGAAAGTACAAACTAACTACATTTTCTAGATGAGGTGGAAACGCCTCTCTTTGGTGTGTAAATTCACTTTATATTGTCAAGATTATGTTTTAGTTGAGTGTAGCTTTTCTAATAGACGGATAATAATTCGAAACATGTTTCACTAAGCTTTCAAAGGGCAACTTTGCTTTGGAGTAAACTTTACTTATGAATATGCTACTTTCATTTCTTTTTCTTTTTTCTTGAATAGTTATATAGTAGGTTACTTTTAAATTGGATAACATATTTAAATTATGAGAAAATAATATATGTGAACATGGAAGCTACCAAGAAACTTCCCTTGTGCAGCCCAATTTGATTATAAAACAATCATGACACAACGTTATTGAATGACAATCTTTCTTACCAAATATTTCATTTCTCCAAGTTCTTGTTCTTCTCCATTACTTTGAGTTTAGAAAGAATTGACAATGGAGACCAAATTCCACTCAACCACTGATTATGGTAACGGTCTATATAGAGTGCTTCTTGATTTTAGTAGCGCCACCCTCACAAAACCCCAGAAGCGATGGCGCATTGCCTGCATCGCCATTCATTTTTCTCTGTCTCTTGCAAAATCTATCATTAAAAGACGAAGAAATCATAAATATTCTGAAATTTCTGGCTCCCCTTCTCACACCGTTCTTGAAATTGATTCTGTCAGTGGCTTGGATCTTGTATCTAGTGCCGATTTAGTTCCTGTATCTTGTTTTCCCATCGTTGATCAAACAAAACTCACAAATATGGTGAAGAACAAAAGCTTGGACGAACTCCGACAATTTGACGGAATTGATGGCATTGCCAAGCTTCTGAAAACTGATTTAGTAAATGGAATTCCTGGAGATGAAGTTGATGCGAAAAAACGGAGGAGTGCATTTGGTTATAATACGTACCAAAAGCCTCCTCCGAAAGGGCTAATGTATTTCGTAGTCGAGGCATTTAAGGATACCACCATTATCATCCTTCTTGCTTGTGCGGCTCTATCTCTTGCATTTGGGATTAGAGAACATGGAATTCAAGAAGGTTGGTACGAGGGTGGCAGCATATTTGTAGCTGTTTTTCTAGTTGTTGTAGTATCTGCAGCTAGCAATTTCAGACAGGAAAGACAATTCGACAAGCTGTCGAAAATAAGTAGCAATATCAAAATTGATGTTGTTAGAGATGGGAGGAGGCAGAAGTTATCAATCTTCGACGTTGTAGTCGGGGACGTAGTTTTCTTGACGATCGGCGATCAAATTCCGGCAGATGGACTATTCATCGACGGGCATTCCTTTCAAGTGGACGAATCGAGCTTGACAGGAGAGAGTGATCATGTGGAAATCGATTCCAAGCATAATCCATTCCTGATGTCGGGTTCAAAAGTGGCCGATGGGTATTCACAAATGCTAGTGATATCGGTCGGGATGAATACAGCCTGGGGGAAGATGATGAGCTCGATAACAAAAGATTCAAACGAACAAACGCCATTACAAGAGCGCCTGAACAAATTGACGACGTCAATTGGGAAAGTAGGACTTTCTGTAGCTTTCTTAGTTCTTATAGTCATGTTGATTCGTTATTTCACTGGAAATACCGAAGATGAAAACGGAAATCGAGAATACAATGGAAGAAGAACAGATTTAAATGATATTTTCAATTCTGTTCTTCGAATTATATCGACGGCTGTTACCATTGTGGTTGTCGCAATTCCGGAGGGACTCCCGCTGGCTGTCACCCTAACGCTCGCATATTCAATGAAGAGAATGATGGCTGATCAGGCAATGGTCAGGAACTTATCAGGCTGTGAAACAATGGGATCAGCAACAGTTATTTGCACAGACAAAACGGGAACATTGACAATGAATCAAATGAAAGTGACGAAGTTTTGGCTCGGCCATGACAACATCAAGGAAGATCAATATTCACAGGCTATTGCCCCGGATCTCCTGGAACTATTCCACCAGGGAATTGGTTTCAACACGACAGGGAGCATTTATAAACCCAAATCAGAATCTGCAATTGAGTATTCTGGCAGTCCAACTGAGAAGGCAATTCTCTCGTGGGCTATCCAGGATTTGAGTATGGATAACGAGAAACTGAAGCGAAATTATACGATTATTCATGTTGAAACTTTCAATTCGGAGAAGAAGCGAAGCGGAATTCTGATAAAAAAACAGGTTGATAATACCAACCATGTGCACTGGAAAGGAGCTGCAGAAATGGTGTTAGCAATGTGTACGTACTATTATCAGGGTACAGGAAAAGTTAAGAGTATAAGTCAAAATGAAAGGTCACAATTTGAAAGATATTAGGTCCCTTACCGTCGTTCAAGCCTCAGGTGCATTGCATTTGCTTATAAGCAAATTGAACCAGAAAAAGTTCAATGTGATGAAGATGATTTGACCTTGCTCGGGATAGTTGGCCTAAAGGATCCCTGCAGACCAGGTGTAAAAAAGGCTATTGAATCATGTAGAATGGCTGGGGTGCAAATCAAGATGATCACGGGAGATAATGTGTTTACAGCAAAGGCCATAGCTACAGAATGTGGGATACTTTCATCTGATCAAGAACATGGTGTTGGCGAAGTTATAGAAGGCTCTGAGTTCAGAAACTACACACCAGATGAGAGAATTCTCAAGGTTAATAACATTCTTGTAATGGCGAGATCATCCCCAATGGACAAGCTTATGATGGTACAATGCTTGAAACAGAAAGGTCATGTGGTAGCAGTAACTGGAGATGGAACAAATGATGCACCAGCACTAAAAGAAGCTGATGTAGGCCTTTCCATGGGAATTCAAGGCACTGAAGTAGCCAAAGAAAGCTCCGATATCATTATCTTAGATGATGATTTTGCATCCGTCCGTTGGCATAACTTTACCCCAGCTTGCGTTTATAACAATATCCAAAAATTTATTCAATTTCAACTCACCGTCAATGTTGCAGCCCTTGTTATCAATTTCATTGCAGCAGTTTCTGCTGGTGATGTTCCCCTAACCACGGTGCAACTTCTGTGGGTGAACCTCATAATGGACACATTGGGGGCTCTTGCACTTGCTACAGAAAGACCAACAGATGAGCTTATGCATAAACCCCCGGTAGGTCGAACCGAGCCTCTAATCACGAAGATTATGTGGAGAAACCTCTTGGCACAGGCCATATACCAAATAACCATACTCTTAACCTTACAATTTAAAGGTAAATCAATCTTTAATGTGGAGGAGAAGGTCAAGGACACATTGATTTTCAACACATTTGTGCTTTGCCAAGTTTTCAATGAATTTAATGCAAGAAAGTTGGAGAAGAAGAATGTGTTCAAAGGGATTCATAAGAATGGTCTGTTTCTTGGAATCATTGCAGTAACTCTTATTCTACAGGTTGTGATGGTAGAGTTTTTAAAGAAATTTGCAGATACAATGAGGTTGAATTGGGCTCAATGGGGAATTTGTATTTTGCTTGCAGCTTTTACATGGCCACTTGGATGGATTGTGAAGTGCATTCCAGTTCCTAAAATGCCATTTCTAATTTACTTCAAATTTTCACACACACCTTCATGATTTTACTATGCCACAAGGTAAAGAAGATTTTGTTGGACCGTGTGGAGCCTAGTTATAAAACGTTATTCCATAGTCATGGCTTTTGAGTATATATTCATGTGTTAGGTCACTCTAATATTCCTATAAAATGGACCTATTTGGCATGGCTTTTGCTTTTGCGTTTGCATCTAGTAGAAGAGTTTTTGGAGGAAGTTATCTTAATTTTTGTTTGTGTTAGAAAATATGGATCATGGGTCGTCCATGTGGGGTGACCCGACTCATAAGACATCAAAAGTGTTGGAGGGAGTGATTTGAATTTGGAATTTAAATCCACAACTCCCCTTCCATAACTCCCATAAAACCTCCAATTTTTTTTTTATCTAGCAATGCAGAGAAAAAAATGGCAAAAAAATTGTGAAAATTCATATGGAAAATATCCCTAAAATTGAAAGGTACCAAGAACCACTATTTTGGCATGAAAACTCACAGAAATTGGTACTTAGGTTGTGGCCAATAATCCACTTCTATTGTGATCGGGATTTGGACTATTGAAGTGCAAGAAAATTATAGTTTTGGAGTTTTGGAAAGTAAGATGATTCAACCATTCAAAAGATCTTGGAATTCATCATTTCAAGTAACATCTCGACCCGAAATTCATGTTAAAGTATGTTTCGAATTACTTCATTTTGAAAATTAGTTTTTAAAAATACTTCATTCGAGCCACATTGAACTAGATTCCTCTAAAAGCTCTTCCAACCGAAAGCGCTTTTATAAAATTAGTTAAATGGTCCAAAGAAGCTTTTGGTTCCCAAAACCTCATTTTAGCTTTTCAAAAGCCATGCCAAATGGACATCATTAAGAATTTGTTAGGGGCCTTGTTGTGTGCAAGATGTGTGTGAGGAAATGATGTTGAAAATCTGTCAGAGCAAGTGGATTTAGCTCTCGCTTTGAGGCCAACCGCTATAAATCTTCGTGTACTATGCTCGTTTTTGGGTTCTTTTTTTGTGAATGAGGGTAGGGGATAAGACGTATTTCCTAACTGATTTATCATTAGCTACAAATAAAAAAATCCCAACGACAACGTGAATTGGTTGTAGGAAACGAACCTATCCAAGAGAATTGATGAAGTAAAAGTATGATACATAGTATTGGACAAGATTAAAGTATAAGATGAACGTGATCCGTGCTCTTGGGAAACATGGTATGGATTTCAACATGCATGGCCACTTCGAAATTGGTGAGAATGGGCTCAATCTGAACTGAAGTTACAAATCTGGCCCAAGCAAGCCCAGCAAGGAATGTTTTGGCTCTTTAGTTTTTCTGTAAACTGTCCACATTGGTTGAAAAAAAAAAAAATGTTCCGTTAGTGTAATACATGGCAAGTATAACCCTTTTGTAAAATTTTTTTAGGGTCTATTTGATTCAAAGATGGAATTTGGATGGAAAGAAAATGAATTGTAGGGAATTGAATTGCATAGAACTTGTTTTAATGGGAATTGTCAATTAATTGTTTTTGATTGATATAATTTTTCACCTGAAAAATGTTGAAATTTTCTATCTTTTGATATTCGTTTGGCTTTATTTTTCATGAAAATTGTTAATTAAAGGGATATAATTTCTTACAATTGGAGATATAATTTGTTTGGATTGGTAAAAAAAAAAATTGTAAAATTTTTGGTGTTCGTTTGACTTTATTTTACAAAATTGTCTATTACATGAATAATTTTTTTTTTTTTTTTACAATTGGGGATAGCATTTGTTTCTATTGCCCAAAAAATAAAAATAAAAAGTAAAAAAAATGGAAAACCAAAAACCGCCTAAAAGGTGGGAATTGAAATTCAACTAAAACTAAGAAAATGGGTTACGTGATGGCAAATGTAGAAAACCAATTCTTGGAAAAAAAAAAAGTGCCATCGAACATGACAAAAGTGGAAAATTGAATTTCCATAAAAACGAGGGGGGGGGGGGGGGGGTAGGCCCTTAGTGAAAATGAACTCTGATAGCTCTGTAATTAATAATGAGGAAATTACACCTAGCCCTAAATTGAAAGTACCAATTTCATAAATCCTGAATCAAGTTTCAAATTACAAAAATCAGGTTTTAATTAATAATTTAAAAACATTTTTTTATATCTAATTAAATACTAATTAATAATTTTCATTCCAATTAATAATTTCATCCTAAAATTAAAACCTAATTTCATTTCTTTCCCCGGCGTCGCTGTCGTCGTCGCCGTCTCCTCTCCTCTCATCCCCTCACATCTCCATCTTCTCTCATCACGTCTGTCTTCGTCATCGCTCTTCTCCCTCACCAGCGACGACGGTGCTCGTAACCCATGTCGACTTATCTCTTCTCAATTCTGTGATGCTGAAACGCCCAACCGTCTCTACCTCACCGTTATTCTCTCTCTCACACTTCGCTCTTCGATCCGGCGAAATAGCAGGCGCAGTCGCTCCCGTGACGGTGCCCCCTTATGTCCTCTTGTAGAGGGCGGTTGGGTGTGTGTGAGTGCGTGTGAGACAGATTCGGTGGGTGTGTACGTGGGTGCGTCACGACTGGTATGTGTGGACGCGAACGGGTGCGTTGTGCGTGCGTATAGCAGTTGGGTGTGGTCTTGGTTTCTATGAGATGTTGACGCCGTTATTGGGCGGCGATGGAGGTGGTGCTACTCGTGGAAGCAGTGTCGATGTGGTAGTGCGATGTGGGTAGGGGGTGAATCTGGGTATGTGCTGCGGTGCGTGATGTGCAATGGTGGATTTGTACGGTGTGGTGGTGGTGGTGGTCACAAGTGATTTGGTTGATTGTGACCAATAATTGGTTCGGTGTGTGACCAATGAAGTAGATAAACTGCGACCAATGCATGCTGTGTGACCTAAAAATTATTAATGTTGACAGTTTGGTGTAGTGGTGGTGGTGAAAACGTTGGCTGCGATGTTTGAAACTGTGATTTTGTTGCTAGGAAGTGGTGGTGATGGTG